GAGCAACTAAATGTGATGGAGGCTCTATCTATTAAACATAGTCTACCTAGATCATATCATGTATCTAAATGGAATTAATATTAAAAAACCTACAACATGAGACGTAGTACGTCGAGCAAAATAATCCAAACTAGGAAACCCTCATGTATATACCATATGTCTCAAATTGTAGATAACTAAATATCAATACTGGATTAAGAATAAACAATCTTAATATAATCAATAATTAGAAACTCATAACACGAGACTGGTACATCGAGCAAAATAATCCAAATAAGGAAACCCTAATATATATATCATATGTCTCAAATTGTGAATCGCTAATCATCAATCCCAACTAAAAATAAAGGATAGCAATACAAGAAATTAAAATCATCATAATATCGGACCAAAAATATCTTCCACTATCCTTTGAAAGATAATGTAAACAACTGCATATAATCCTGCGTACTTACAAGAGTAAAGTACCTCAGTCATATATAACTCAGCGATGAGTCATGTTCATAAATAGCGTCCACCAAGACTCAGGCTATCAGATAATTATCACAATACAAATCCTTACAAAGTTTATAATTTATCGCATTATCATACATGACAGACTACCAAATCGGCATCCTAAAAGTGTACATGGCTCATTAGTCTCATCGCATTAATGTGCGGGACGGACTACCAAATCAAGCATCCTAGGTATACGACTCTCAAGCCTCATCGCATCTACGTGCGGGATGGACTACTAGATCAAGCATCCTAAAACCCGACTCAATGGCCTGTACTAATGGTATATTGACGCACTATCCCAAGTAGTACTGAGCAGTGCTCATCAATGATATCCATACAAGTATATAATGTTTAAATAACGCATATCTCCCGTGTAATCGAAACAATAACTGTATTAATCCACTTCGGGATACCCATGTGTGTGTTACGATATTATACGTGTATACTCATGATTGTACGTGTATCATCGTGCGCCTTGAACCTCGAGTTCAAAAATAAAAGGTGTAAAAAAACAACACTTCAAACAAAAGAGAACATATGTCGGTCGACCGTCCTAGGGCGTCGGTCGACCGAACGCAAACATGCACAAAGTACACTCACAGGATCTCACCGGTCGACCGGCTAGCCTTAGTCGGTCAAGGCCAGAGAAGATATTCACATATCAGGTTTTGGCGTTTGTATTTTTGTAACTTTATTCAAAAACTTAATTTTATTAACATGAGGCATATAACAAGATTTAAACTTTTATATTTTCTTAACAGAAATTAACTCATCATGATATAAACACTTGAATTAAACTAATTAGGGTTTAACATCCTAATTAATCAAAATTTCTCAAATAATCTAATTTATAAATATGATTAAGTAAACATGATAAATTCTAAATATTAAACAGAGATAAATTTATTTAAACATGCTCAAATCACTTAGGTATCATCAACCTAGGGTGACCTCTTTAATTAGCAAGAAAACTCAAATAATTATTAAACTAGGGTTTAAACATGATTTAAGCATGATTAACAAGTTAAAAATAAAATTAAATACAGTCCTAATGATCATGATCATCAAACTAATATAAACAACAACTAAAACTACAGATTTTCACACTGGTTTAAAGATTAACATCATAAACTAAGATTTTAAAACATCGGGTTAAGCTTTAACATGAGATTCATCAATTAAACATATTAAATCTTGAATTAACTACAGTGAGAGGTTTGGAGAAAGATGATCTTGCCTCAAATATCGTGTTGAACTCCTGAACACATGCGTGCAAGATCCCTCTTCACCAAAGTCGTAAAAAATCCTGCCTTCCTCTTGACAAACGCCTCAAGAACTCTCTCAAATCTCATAAATTATGATTAGGGTTTGAGAGAGAGGAAGAGAGGATACTAGGGTTTGGAATACTGATAAGAAAATGTGTTTTTCTTATGTAAACATGTATATATATAACTACAAACCTAATTAGACGAAAAAATAATCTTCGGTATTTTGGCTGTAACTTTCACATATAACCTCAGAATGAGGTAATTTAAGATGAGTTGGAAAGATATTGAAGATACATACAACTTTTATTTTTTAAGTTTTTCTATATTCGAAATATACCGGTGTGTTATGCATATATACTCTTAACTGATCAATTTTCTAGATTTCATCTTTGTGCATGTTTAACCTTTGTATACTCTCATATATACTCTTAATTAATCTCAAATCAATTGTTAGCATAAGCATTCATTTATAAGTAATATTCTTCATAATTAGAACCCATTTATCTATATAGTTCACACTATTTTTCAAAATTCACGGGGGTTTTACATATTAACACATCCTCAAACTCAAAACCAAAACACCAAACTTAAAACACCTAAAAGGTGTTTTGAAATAAGTATTGTGTTTTTAGTTTGAGAATGATCAAAACACCAAACTTAAAACACCTAAAAGGTGTTTTGAAATAAGTATTGTGTTTTTAGTTTGAGAATGATTTAGCTCAAAAAATACCATGACCTAAAAGGTGTTTTGAAATAAGTATTGTGTTTTTAGTTTGAGAATGATTTAGCTCAAAAAATACCATGATTTCCAAACGCATGGTGTTTTGTTTTTGATAAAAATACCATAGAAACAAGTAAAACACCATGGTATCCAAATGGAGCCGTAGTTATTCATTTCTTTGTTTGTGATATTAGAATAGCATATAAAAGCTGTTGTTGTATATGTGGCATTTAACTTTTCAAAAAACCATAGGTCGTGCCTAAACGATTGCCCTTGCTCTACTAAGTGTAGCCCTTGTTATGTGTAAAATCTGGAAAAAACTGTCACTATAGCTATGTAAGCGTTGGTGTAGCTAAAATAAAAAACCATCCCCATTGCTATATAGGAGTCAACGGTCCCCTTTGCCAGATAACTGTTACCATAACTTAAAGCTAAAAACCATAGCACTTGCTATATATGCGTCAATGTAGATTAAAATAAAGAACCATTGTCGTAATGTTACCATCCCCTTAAATTACCAATGCAAACAGTTTTACGGACCGTTATGCTAGGAGCGCAAACCGTCGCCTTAGACCAAAGACAACGGCGATAATGGTATCAGATGCAGAACTGTTCCCTTAGATGTACGAGAACGGTTGGTTTGTTGTTCTAGAGAGACAGTTTGCAACCGTTACCATATACCTATATTGTGATAGTGAGAAAACCAAAAGGTTGCTTCTAGCCTTTTTTAAACTGAAAAAAGAAAAAAAAAATCAAAGAAAAGCATGGAAATCATTGGAAAGAGTACTTTAGCATCTTTTTCCTGTTCCTTTTTTTAAACGAAATGATTCAAACAATCCCTAAAAGCAAAAAATCACCAAAGAATTGCTAGAAAGTGAAAGATGTCATATCAATATATTCTCTTTTTTTACTTTCTCAAACATTTTAAGAAATTAGTTAGGAAGTGAATTGAAAAGAAGAAATTGATTTTTCTATGTGGTTTGTTATTATTCACTTTTAATTGTTTACTTTATATTTTTTTCTTTACTCGATAAATAGATGATGAAGAACATAAATATCATGTTATTTGTCAGCACAACTTTCTATTATTGGAATACTCGTGTAGTACTTAACAAAATTTAAGCCTTTGGGTTTCTTTGGTTCCTATAATCTATTGAATTCTATTAACTTTAGGTCATGCCCGATTTCTCTCAAATAAGTGCTATTGGGGCTAAAACAATGGTTCGAGGGAAAATATATTCTAAGAGATTAATTTTTTAAACCCAAAATATGGGACCATTATGTGGGACTGGCGATGTAAAATGCATTAATTATATTTCTCATTGTCCACCTATAACATATGAATTAAATTAGCAAGGGCGCTCTTATAATATTTCATTGCATTTTGCTTTCTTCATCTTTTTCTTCAACATTACCTTTCTCTTTAGCTCCTTCTATTTGTTTCATACGGTGGATGAACCGTTCTTCTAACTTAACTTTTCAGTTATAAAAAAAATTATTTTTTACATTCGAACGCTTTCAATTTGGATAGTCTTTTGGGTTTAATGATGGGAGAGGCGACATCTATAATGAAAAGGGATAGAAGGGCATGATTATATTTGAGATGAGAATATAATGGATTTTTATCTTATACATATTCAATCAACAAATATGTTGGTTTATATCCATAACTTGCTTCTGTCTTGCTATCTCCTGATTTGGACATATTTTTGAGTATGAGAGGGGGCAAAATAAAATAAAATGGATCCACTTCAAATTGACAACCCCCTACTTCTAGAAGCACAATTATTCTTTAAAGCCTCATAACCCCACAGATAAAACTCTGATGGGAAAAATAGGTTACGGAGAAGAAATCCACTCTCAATTTAATCAAACCTTATAAAAAAGAAGCAAGCACACCCATTAAGCAATTGTTATGGATTCAAACAGGAATGATCAGTCTAAAAGTGGTGGCGATGACGCATCGATGATCATGATAAACCAGGGGCGATAATGGAAGCATGAGGGACAACGGAAGGAGACCGGAGTTTGGGTTCATGTTGTTAATTTGAAGGGAGATAGATCTTGGATTGGGCTTGCCAATTGCAAGCGATAGTCCGATGAATTGTGAAACTATCCTTGATTTCTCATTAACACTGTCCAACTAATCAATGATTAATTGAACACGTGGATGTGCCATGTCAGCTGTTCCTTTATCCTGTCCCATTCTTAGGTCTTCCTAGCACTACTCAATCTGAAAAGGCCAAAAAATATTCGGAGGACGACTTGGGTCATGACGATCCTTGGTGTTTAGTGTGTTATGTGCCGCCATGATCATCGGTGTAGATTAAGGTCTAGTTAAGCTCGTAGATAGAAGATTTTATAAATCTTAGTAACCATATATGGCAACTGGCCCAGAAACTTGGATTTGGGCCCAAAACTTGAAATTCAGATAGCCCAATCCAAATATCTTGTTTTGGATCTTCTTTACTGTTCTGGATTTCAAATCAATTCGTTTTGCATATAATTTGCAGTTGGAGGCCCAAAAATGCTGGATGTCGAGTTGAGCCCTTAGGACAGTGATTTGTACAACTCACCGATCGTTTCTTCATCTCCGCCATTTTCTCCTCAAGTTCTTCGTCTTCACGATCTGAATATCCTCGAGAGACGACACCGACGACGAGCAGCGGGGAGCTTTGAAGGCTGCAGCGGCGAACTTTGACGTCGACGAAGGCGAACTTCGGGGAGGCCATCGGCTCCAAGAACCCCACCTCTTGATTCTCTTTTTCTTCAAGGTGAATTCATTTCCTGTTTTTTGTTTGTTAATTTGTTATTGCGTTCGATGGTCTGCTTTTGACTTGATAATGTTTGCCTCCTCTGATGGATTAGTTTTATCTAGGGTTTCTTCCGGCAATCCCCCGCCACCCCCCATTTGTCTGATCTATTTTTGATTGGTTTATTATTGAGATGTTGTTATGAATATGTGACTTCGTATCTAATTTTTGTTGTCAGTCCTGTAAGCGCGGTATTATGAGCCCAATGTTAATGCTAAGATTTGTTATCCTCAGATTTGTGATTCGGGTCATCGGATCGATTTTGGAATGGTATTTTTTTTGCCCAATATATGTGTGATTTGCAAGCTCTCATAGCATGACAGGCACTAGTTGCAGATGAAGCCTTTATCTCTGTTTTGTTTGTTGCATAGGAATATAATGATCTGTACCATTCACGGATAGTTAGAGGGTTATTTTCTTCTTGCCTAGGGTTTGTGAAACTGAGAAATCCCTCTCCATCTCTCTATTTTTACATAGATTAGGGTTGCGAATCTCTACATTTAGGCATTAATCACAATCTAATATCCAAGAATTCGATTCCCAAGCTCCAAATTCACAGGTTCTGGTCTTTAGGGCTGAAGAAATGAACGCAGAGTAGGGTGGTGCTCGGGATTTCTTGGATGAGCTGAGTGCGAAAAAACTCTACGGTCAAGGTCAGCTCAAAAGCTCCTTTTGTTTTCGTTAGTTCTTGAATTTCTTCAGATTGATTTTATAGTGAAATCTGGAGCTTGGACTGTTTCTTTTGGGGCTGGAAATGGTTGGAAGACGGATCTTCATCTTTTTTTTTTGAATCTGGTGTTTTTTCTTTTTCTTTTTTGTAGAGATTTTGGATAATTTATGCTTTAAATTACTCGAAATCAATGTTACTGAAGGCAATGGGTGTCAGACTAGGGCCTAGGCGGATGTTCTCTTTTTTATTTAAGTGTCTATGGAGGAGATTTCACATATTTTTGCTAGAGATCGAATGAGATAGGAGGTATTTGTAGTCGGTGGAAGAAGTCTGAGAAGGTAGGAGGACGCAGAGGCAAAAACAGTGAAAATAACGATCAAGACCTAAGTAAACAACCTGCTCTCCTACTCGCTCCCAATACCTATGCAGGAGGCTTAGGTGCCACTTTGGCCTATGTGGGAGCCTAGGTGCCACTTAGGCCTAGGCGGGAGCCTAGGTGGGCTCCTAGATTGTTTTTTGCCCAATATATGTGTGATTTTGCAAGCTCTCATAGCATGACAGGCACTAGTTGCAGATGAAGCGTTTGTCTTTGTTTTGTTTGTTGCATAGAAATATAATGATCTGTACCATTCACGGATAGTTAGAGGGTTAGTTTCCTCTTGCCTAGGGTTTGTGAAACTGAGAAATCCCTCTCCATCTCTCTATTTTTACATAGAATTCGATTAATCACAATCTAATATCCAAGAATTCGATTCCCAAGCTCCAAATTCACAGGTTCTGGTCTCTAGGGCTGAAGAAATGAACGCAGAGTAGGGTGGTGCTCGGGATTTCTTGGATGAGCTGAGTGCGAAAAGACTCTACGGTCAAGGTCAGCTTAAAAGCTCCTTTTATTCTCGTTAGTTCTTGAATTTCTTCAGATTGATTTTACAGTGAAATCTGGAGCTTGGACTGTTTCTTTTGGGGCTGGAAATGGTTGGAAGACGGATCTTCATCTTTTTTATTTGAATCTGGTGTTTTTTTTTTCTTTTTTGTAGAGATTTTGGATAATTTATGCTTTAAATTACTCGAAATCAATGTTACTGAAGGCATTGGGTGTCGGACTAGGGCCTAGGCGGATGTTCTCTTTTTTATTTAAGTGTCTATGGAGGAGATTTCACATATTTTTGCTAGAGATCGAAGGAGATAGGAGGTATCGGTGGAAGAAGTCTGAGAAGGTAGGAGGACGCAGAGGCAAAAACAGTGAAAATAACGATCAAGACCTAAGTAAACAACCTGCTCTCCTACTCGCTCCCAATACCTATGCACGAGGCATGAGTGCCACTTTGGCCTATGTGGGAGCCTAGGTGCTACTTAGGCCTAGGCGGGAGCGTAGGTGGGCTCCTAGATTGTTTTTTGCCCAATATATGTGTGATTTTGCAAGCTCTCATAGCATGACAGGCACTAGTTGCAGATGAAGCGTTTGTCTTTGTTTTGTTTGTTGCATAGAAATATAATGATCTGTACCATTCACGGATAGTTAGAGGGTTAGTTTCCTCTTGCCTAGGGTTTGTGAAACTGAGAAATCCCTCTCCATCTCTCTATTTTTACATAGAATTCGATTAATCACAATCTAATATCCAAGAATTCGATTCCCAAGCTCCAAATTCACAGGTTCTGGTCTCTAGGGCTGAAGAAATGAACGCAGAGTAGGGTGGTGCTCGGGATTTCTTGGATGAGCTGAGTGCGAAAAGACTCTACGGTCAAGGTCAGCTTAAAAGCTCCTTTTATTCTCGTTAGTTATTGAATTTCTTCAGATTGATTTTACAGTGAATTATGGAGCTTGGACTGTTTCTTTTGGGGCTGGAAATGGTTGGAAGATGGATCTTCATCTTTTTTATTTGAATCTGGTGTTTTTTCTTTTTCTTTTTTGTAGAGATTTTGGATAATTTATGCTTTAAATTACTCGAAATCAATGTTACTGAAGGCATTGGGTGTCGGACTAGGGCCTAGGCGGATGTTCTCTTTTTTATTTAAGTGTCTATGGAGGAGATTTCACATATTTTTGCTAGAGATCGAATGAGATAGGAGGTATTTGTAGTCGGTGAAAGAAGTCTGAGAAGGTAGGAGGACACAGAGGCAAAAACAGTGAAACTAACGATCAAGACCTAAGTAAACAACCTGCTCTCCTACTCGCTCCCAATACCTATGCAGGAGGCTTAGGTGCCACTTTGGCCTATGTGGGAGCCTAGGTGCCACTTAGGCCTAGGCGGGAGCCTAGGTGGGCTCCTAGATTGTTTTTTGCCCAATATATGTGTGATTTTGCAAGCTCTCATAGCATGACAGGCACTAGTTGCAGATGAAGCGTTTGTCTTTGTTTTGTTTGTTGCATAGAAATATAATGATCTGTACCATTCACGGATAGTTAGAGGGTTAGTTTCCTCTTGCCTAGGGTTTGTGAAACTGAGAAATCCCTCTCCATCTCTCTAATTTTACATAGAATTCGATTAATCACAATCTAATATCCAAGAATTCGATTCCCAAGCTCCAAATTCACAGGTTCTGGTCTCTAGGGCTGAAGAAATGAACGCAGAGTAGGGTGGTGCTCGGGATTTCTTGGATGAGCTGAGTGCGAAAAGACTCTACGGTCAAGGTCAGCTTAAAAGCTCCTTTTATTCTCGTTAGTTCTTGAATTTCTTCCGATTGATTTTACAGTGAATTCTGGAGCTTGGACTGTTTCTTTTGGGGTTGGAAATGGTTGGAAGACGGATCTTCATCTTTTTTATTTGAATCTGGTGTTTTTTCTTTTTCTTTTTTGTAGAGATTTTGGATAATTTATGCTTTAAATTACTCGAAATCAATGTTACTGAAGGTATTGGGTGTCGGACTAGGGCCTAGGCGGATGTTCTCTTTTTTATTTAAGTGTCTATGGAGGAGATTTCACATATTTTTGCTAGAGATCGAAGGAGATAGGAGGTATTTGTAGTCGGTGAAAGAAGTCTGAGAAGGTAGGAGGACACAGAGGCAAAAACAGTGAAAATAACGATCAAGACCTAAGTAAACAACCTGCTCTCCTACTCGCTCCCAATACCTATGCAGGAGGCTTAGGTGCCACTTTGGCCTATGTGGGAGCCTAGGTGCCACTTAGGCCTAGGCGGGAGCCTAGGTGGGGCTTAGGTGCCACTTTGGCCTATGTGGGAGCCTAGGTGCCACTTAGGCCTAGGCGGGAGCCTAGGTGGACTTCTAGATTGTTTTTTCCCCAATATATGTGTGATTTTGCAAGCTCTCATAGCATGACAGGCACTAGTTGCAGATGAAGCGTTTGTCTTTGTTTTGTTTGTTGCATAGAAATATAATGATCTGTACCATTCACGGATAGTTAGAGGGTTAGTTTCCTCTTGCCTAGGGTTTGTGAAACTGAGAAATCCCTCTCCATCTCTCTAATTTTACATAGAATTCGATTAATCACAATCTAATATCCAAGAATTCGATTCCCAAGCTCCAAATTCACAGGTTCTGGTCTCTAGGGCTGAAGAAATGAACGCAGAGTAAGGTTGTGCTCGGGATTTCTTGGATGAGCTGAGTGCGAAAAGACTCTACAGTCAAAGTCAGCTTAAAAGCTCCTTTTGTTCTCGTTAGTTCTTGAATTTCTTCAGATTGATTTTACAGTGAATTCTGGAGCTTGGACTGTTTCTTTTGGGGCTGGAAATGATTGGAAGACGGATCTTCATCTTTTTTATTTGAATCTGGTGTTTTTTCTTTTTCTTTTTTGTAGAGATTTTGGATAATTTATGCTTTAAATTACTCGAAATCAATGTTACTGAAGGCATTGGGTGTCGGACTAGGGCCTAGGCGGATGTTCTCTTTTTTATTTAAGTGTCTATGGAGGAGATTTCACATATTTTTGCTAGAGATCGAAGGAGATATGAGGTATTTGTAGTCGGTGGAAGAAGTCTGAGAAGGTAGGAGGATGCAGAGGCAAAAACAGTGAAAATAACGATCAAGACCTAAGAGGTGTAGTCTGCATAAACAACCTGCTCTCCTACTCGCTCCTAATACCTATGTAGGAGGCTTGGGTGCCACTTTGGCCTATGTGGGAGCCTAGGTGCCACTTAGGCCTAGGCGGGAGCCTAGGTGAGCTCCTAGATTGTTTTTTAAAAACATTGTTCAAGTAGATTGAAATACCGTAATTCCAGCAGTGGCGGAGCTACATAGTGTTTAGTGGTGTCATAGAACATAGAACACCACTGAATTGCTTGCTTTATACCATTTTTTCTTTCTTGACATCACTGGGACAAAATCTCAGATCTGCCACTCATTTTGTGGAGGATACATTTTTTTCCAAAATTTTGGTGTCAACTACATGTAACTCTACTCTTTTATCCTTAATAGGAGGAATTTCTAACTTCCTATGGATGAACTTATCAGAGCATAAAATGAGTTAGTATAAAGTTAAACAGTGGTCACAAGCAAATTCTTGTTTCTGAGGTCTATTGATAGTAATACGATACCCCCAAAATAGTAAGCAAGACTTAGAAACCTGTATCAAAGCGAAGAAAAATGCTAGATGGGTGTAGTCAAAAGAAAGCATGACTGAGTTTTAGTCAGAAGGGGCAACATTTGAATCAACTAGTGGAAGAACACTAAAACTATTGCAACCACGAACCGTAAAATGGTTGTAAAGTTACTTTAATGATGAATAGTAATATCAGTTCAAGGTTATCGATAGCGGATAGCGTCGCGTAGCGGTGAGGCATCACTAAGACTATTTCGGGCTATTATGGTAAAATAGCGGTAAAAAGCACAAGTCAAATAGCTGTCTAATTTAGATATGTATAAATACTAAAAAAAATTAAAGAAATATCTAAGAAATCTAAAAGTACATATTGGATGATTTAAAGAGATCCTAAACATAAAAGAGATATGTAACCATCACGTAATACCGAAGATGACTGGAGGAGTCAAAAAGTCGTCTTCGAGAAGAAGAGCTTAACGGTGATAGAACTG